CACATTCCAGTAATACGGGTGATCTACTCACAGGATGGGATCATGCAAAAACGCATGGTCGCACCGACAAGCCCGGTGCGCCGCCAGCTGAGTTTGTCATAGCCAGCGTTCGCTTTCATCTTTTGTCAGCGATCACATTTCGCATCCGTACGTCACTGGCTTCTACATAAAGATATTGAAGAGACGAGCACAGTCCTTTAAAGGTATCAAAAAATAATGCTGCAATAAATTAATAATGCCTGCAATAAGAAGGCTAAGTCAATGAAAGAAAATAGATTTTTCTACAAAAATTTAAAAAATATGAATTGCAACAATGGAAGTGGTGTGTATGCTGAGAAAGTTACTGAAAGAAATGTTGCTGTCCTGTGAGGACGCACCACGCCGGCAGGGAAAGAATCCGATGCAATTATTTTGGGCAACCATTGTCGTCGAATCCCCCAGCAGATGGAAGGCTCGTTTGACTGAAATAAGCCACCCAGCAAGTAGTGATTATTTTGGTTCGCATCCAATTTTCTCTGATTTCAAAGGAAAGTTGCTAGACATACACACACGTACATACATAAATACCCACATACATACATACACAACATACCTAGTACGTGTATATCTGAGCAAAAACAGCCAGAAAGCACTTATGCATGTTTACGGCGCTTCCTTCCGTATTTAGTTCATTTCTGCCACATTTGAATCACTTCACCTTCGCAGAGCACATTGTTCAGCTGTGAATGCGTTTATTGCTTGCTCAACGTGTTTTTTTTTTCGTCACAAATGTGTTTACTAGTACTTTTAGTTTATCGAAAAAAAAAATGCATGAAATGGTGATGTTTGGTGTTAGCGTATTGATGCTAAGTGACGTTAGGTTGTAAATACATAGGCAACGACGAGCTGCGAACAGGCCCTGAGAGGTTGAAAGGAGAACTGGGCTGGTCATGTGGCAAGGATGACAGACAGTAGAGACAGATGAGTGGTACCCACGATTTGTTAGAAGAGCAATGGGAGGGCCAAAGACTGTTGGAGTATTTGGAGTGATGTTTTGCAAGCGGAAAGCAAAGACTGCAGGCGATAAACCCAAGCCAAGTACTGCTAATTTGTAGAAAGAGGATTCATTTTCGCCATTCTAAGCAATACTCGGTAGATGGTGTGAAGGCTTTTTTCCCTAGAAATTGGTAGCACGCTGGCAGGAAAGGCAGAAAAAGAAGTGAACTTTTCATCTGAAGCAAACAAAAGCAAAAATTAGCAGCCTGAGTAATGGCCACCATATTTTACTAGAAAGATGAAAATTTGATCAGCAAAATTCCGCTAAAAAAAGTTAAAATAATTTTGAAAGCACAAATCTACACAAAAAACAAGCCAATGAATGCGGGAATATTTAGCGCAGCGAAATGTGCCATTTGTAAGTAAAAAAGAGTAAAATTCGCTGTCTGGGCAATCAAATTTGAGAGTTCAAACAGATGGCCGACCATCTCATTGCTACAATCGACTGGCTGGTTGTGCCCATGACAATTAAAAACAGAATCAGAGATCTTCCCACTTCACCGAGCCATCGCTGCCACGGTCCCCGGTCCCAGTTCGGTGAATAACTTCGCATTTGTCACTGCACTCAGCTCAACCAACCAATACA